ATGATGATGATGATGATGATGATGATGATGATGTATTAAACTTTTATGATGCCCACCCCAGCTCATAACAATCAAAGAAACCTAAAAAATAAAGATAAAAGATGGTGTCCCTCTCCCTCGCCAAAGAGAGGATACGTTTCATTTCTCTATCAGCTGAGAAGGATAGAGCTGGGATGGATGCCAGAGGGGTCAAAAAAGTCAAAATGGCAGCCACAACCATACACTGGAGCTCTGCTCCTCAACCCATGTAAAACAGGAGTGGGGCATTGATTGCATATTGGGGTTGCAATCTTGTCTTTTTTTACCCCCTTCCTGTAGGTACCCCTAAATGGATGAAAGAAAGGTCATTTGATATTCTGATGCCAGTTTTCTTTTCTTTTCTTTTTTTTAATGGCTGTATTACTCCTTGCTAGTTTACTGTACCTGTGAGCTAAGGGAAGAGTACAGGGAACTTAGCTAAGTCATCTAATGCTTTCTGTTTCTTCTGGTGTGTTGAGTTTAATTTGGATGGAAATGGGACCGTCTTGAGTTCCTAGGTCAGTGCAAATTGGCTTTTGAGACAAATCCATTGATACTCTCTTGACTGTAATTGGGATAATCTTGCTGGAAACAGGAGGGGGTTTAGGTTGGTTTATATCATTTTATTTCTGATTTTACTTGCAGGTTTCTGGAAAGCCACATGTCCACCAACTTGCGCTAGTCCTCTCTTGGTTTTTGTGAATTCAAAGAGCGGAGACAATCAGGGAGTGAAATTTCTTCGGCGCTTCAAGCAGTCACTAAATCCAGCTCAGGTCTTCGATTTAATGAATGGAGGGCCTCATTTAGGGTAACTAGGTTTGCTTTCTATCCAGGGTGATTTTGGAAAGGAATGAAAAGGGGTTGTCAGAAATGCATTTTAGGATGATTTGAGAGATGCATATTCCACAACCTCTAGAGTCTGCTCCAGTGGTGAGTGATTAATATCTTTTTTCTTCCCAGGAAGCATGTACACCACACTGTAGCTGAAATTTTGGGAGTCTGCAGGTCAAAATTCCTTTTCTGATAAAATTTTGGGAACTAGAATTGCCCTCACTATTTACTAAAGTCTGGAAGACTATTTCTGCCCTTAGCACTTTATCAGTGAAGCTTTTAACTTCCTAGGTGTTTGTATTAGGTATTTCTTCTTTTTTATAACTGTACTTATTAAGATGACACATTCCATTTTAGGTGTTGACCCAGGATGCTTTAGCTGTCTGGATTATTGGTGCAGATGTTTGAGCATGATTCACTAGGGCAGTCCTTCTTGGAATTGGACCTCTCTACCAATAGTTGGTATAGGCAGAAACTTTTTTTTATCTTCTGCAAATTATAGACAATGTTATTGGGTAGATGGAGTTTGCCCTGAACCACCTTTTGTGACCTCTGGTGGCCTTTCAAAATTTAATCAGTGTATTTTGAGATCCTGTAATATTTCATACACATTCTGGTGTATTTCTGCTTCATGAACCTGCCTGACACATTAGTTCTTCAGCCCTACCTCTTCTTGTTGATGACCTTAAACAGCCCAAGAATACGTGTTCTACATCTGCAAAGTTTGTACAAGAGGAATTCGAGCTTTCGAGTAGAGATGACTCATCTTTGAAGGGGACAGGCAATTTTAAGCATAGAACTCCTACATAGGAATTAGTGAAACCCATGAATACGGCTGCTGACCAGTTTGTTGATTAAACAGTGGTTCAATAAATCTGCAGAATATTGGCTCTATTTTCTGGGAAATGATATGTATCAGCAAATCTATGTTATTCTTTTAAAGAAGATGGAATTTTGCACTGCTTCCTGATTTCTTGTGTTGCTTCTTATAGTAAGATATCTACCTACCTACCTACCTACCTACCTACCTACCTACCTACCTACCTACCTACCTACCTACCTACCTACCTACCTACCTACCTACCTACCTACCTACCTACCTACCTACCTACCTACCTACCTACCTACCTACCTACCTACCTACCTACCTACCTACCTACCTACCTACCTACCTACCTACCTACCTACCTACCTACCTACCTACCTACCTACCTACCTACCTACCTACCTATCTAATCTTATAATACATCTCTGTTTGGACTTAATTCTGTTCTGAGAATGACATTGAGAACATTGTGATTAATGTCAGAAAATATTAAATATTATATAGGACTATGGGGAGAACCTGGTTAATAGATGAACAAACCCAAGTGAAAAGAGATATAGGAAATGTGGAAATATAAATTAGAGCAAAAACCTATTGCCCTGCTTACAACCATGATTGTTACTAGATTGCTTCTGTTTTCTTTGTTTCAGGAGGAATCATGTCTATTTTTTATAGATTTGACCTCAATGTTAACATTACATTAATTATTACAATACTATCACCAGCTTTTGATGATCAGTAGCTATTGATACAGATTTATCTGTTAATACATAGTATCAAATATAAGAGCTTCAGAAGCTGGAAAAAATGATCACATGGCCTTTGGCATTTTATTTATTTATTTATAAGCTATGTGATTGCTTTATTTTCAAAGTGACAACATCGGTGGATCCATCTCTAGCATCTTCACAAATATTCCATCACTCTGGAGCGAATGAGAAATGATGGAGAAAAAGAGTTGGCATTGCAAATAGAGAGAACGTGAAATTAAACCTTCCTAAGACAAATCTGAATTTCAGTTGGGAACAAAAGCTTTAGGGCTGGGCAATTTTTTATATTTTGTCACTGCTTTCTGGGAAGTGACATGTAGCAAGAAATCTATTTTATTTTTTTTTAAAGGGAGATGGGTGTTCTGTATTGTAGAGAGAAGAAGGAATGGCCTTGAGGGACAGGAGGAAGAGCTGCAACCAAGACAACAGTTAGATAAAAAAGGTCTGAGTCCAGGGCAGGAATGTAACCTGAGAAAACATCTCAGACAAGACCCTCCCTAGTTCTCACAATGATAAAGGGAAGGAGGGGGGAGCACATTCAGCACATTGCAAGATTCTGTTACTATAGCTTTATAATAAAAGTTGTACTGACCTACATGACATTCGATTCCTGGTCTGGTCTACCTGAAAGGGCTGACATCTGTTTCTCATTTTCTCATGACACATGTTTTTTCCCCAGAAAATGCCCCAATACTTTGTTTCTAACATAGCTGGCTTCCATTGCTTTGATACTCCCTTGCTGTTATGATAGATTTGAATACAGTCAATGCATTCTCTTTCAGTTTACGATTATTTCAGAAGTTTGACAATTTTCGAATCCTAGTCTGCGGGGGAGATGGAAGTGTTGGCTGGGTGTTGTCTGAAATTGATAAACTCAACCTACACAAACAGGCAAGTGTCTTTTATTTTCAAGAGGAATAAAGTGAGATTTGTTTTTAAGAAACTAGAAGATGAAACGAAAACAATATATCATGATTACAATTAAACATTGCCATAGACACAAAGTTTAAACAGAGTAACTTTTATCTTCATTTCAGTGTCATTTGGGAGTGTTACCGCTTGGGACAGGAAATGACCTTGCCCGTGTCCTTGGCTGGGGAGGATCATGTGATGATGACACACAGCTTCCTCAAATTTTAGAAAAATTAGAACGGGCTAGCACCAAAATGTTAGACAGGTAAGGAAGCCCCATCCCTGTTTGTTTTATTGAGGATAGTCAAATCCTTTCATGATTAACATTCCTTCTCTATGAATAATTCTGCTTCTGAATTTATTCCTCTGTGTGCTGCATCACTGGGGTGCATGGAACTCTTTTCAGATGGAGCATCATGTCATATGAATTGAGATTCCCATCAAAGCAATGCATTCTTCCAGTTACTCCTGAAGAAGACTCTGAGGAATGTCAGGTAAATCTAAATTTTGGGATGGAATTAAATTATATAAAATGTAATTTGGATGTATTTAAACTGTGTAACGTTCTGTCTGCCTCTCGCCTCCTCCCTTTCTCCACACACATACTTAGATGAAAATGCTTCTGAATTCAGAATACTTCCTCCTGATTAATTATGCACAGCATTTCAGCAAATGAGTAAAGAGAAGAACTTGCAATAATACCATTAATGAGATCTAGAAACATTACATTGTTCCATTTAATTGAAGTTACATAATATAGCTGGAAAATGTATTGATGTTGCAATAAGAATAATGGCAAGCATTTTCATGCAAGGCTTAATTCCTGAAATGCAGGAGGAAGAGAAGGTTTTTCCCCCCAACAACTTATGGGAGAACTTAGGCTGCATGACGCTCTTTCATTCTCTGAGAATCTGGTTAGAGAGGAAGATGTTGTTGAAAGCTGCTGAAACAGAGGCAGGGAAGAAGCTTCATGGGAACAGGCCTTTCTCTAGTTACCTTTCACATTTTTATAGAGGAGACCCCCTTTGGATTTGTGAAGGGTTTCCACATGAATTAGATGCCGAAAGATCAGAATCCTCAATGAGAGGAGAGTTCTCATAGTCCAGGAGTAAGGCTACCAGATCTATACTGCAATCTGGATCTCATTATGGATGGCAGCAAAGAGATATAAAACACTCTGTTGCTGCCATCCTGTGGTCATCTGGATTGTTGCAGTCTGGATATAAGCCTACATTTGCTGATGCTTCTGTGAAGCTTATTACAGAGTAGGCATGTGCAAATTTATGCTTGATGAAGCCAGAGTTTTGCAGTCTCTTTTTATAAGTGTGCGTATGTGTAAGTGCAAGACAGTAGTTTATGTATGTGGATGGGATCAATTAATTTTCAGTAGGGGGGCCTTGTTTTACAGGCAGTTCATTAACTGATTGATTAATTTAATCGATAGACTTGAATTCAGTTAATTTAATGCTTTCTCCAGTACATATACATAGATATATGAATATAGATATGTACTTGTATCTTCTGCACATTTTTGTGGGATGAAAGGTTTTCCAGCATTGGTTTTAGCAGGAAAGTATATGAGTTATTTGTACATTTTTCTTCTAATTATTTTTTTTTGAAGAATCAGTTTAAATTTAGAATCATCTTCCTTTCGGATATATCAGCCATTGTCTAAATGCATACATTGGACTCTTAAATTGATTAGACAAATTAATTCACTTTCCTTTGTCCTGGGAATCGCACCATTTCAGGTAGGAGATGAAATAGATTCTGGTCCACCAAAGCCTATGTAAAGTTTTTAGTCTAAGATGCTGTTCAATCTTTTGCCATATCAGAACAAACTAATACAGCTTGCCACTGCTTCTAATTTATTTGTAGTCTGTCCTACTGCCACAGAAGAATCACAGGTTTTTCATGTTGCAACCACAAACCAGCCAAAATGGTAGCTCCAATCACAAGGTCATGGCTGCCATCTTTACTTTTTTAATCCACTTCACTGGACACCCCTGGATGGACCAGAAACATTTAGAGTCTATTTCTCTGCCTTTCTGTCTCTCTCTGTGATGGAATGGACTTATGAAGGCCAGGCTCAGGGAGATAAGCATGTTCTTAGCCCCCAGCAGGAGGGTGGGAAGTTCAAGGAGATGGGGCTGGCACCTCCCTAAGGAATTCATGGTGTTGTGGCTGACTGGCTTGGGAACTAGGGTACGGTCTGGGGAGATTTTCTGTCTGGAGGTTGTAGCTAATAAACGCAACAGAGCTGTAT